CTCCCTTGCTCCAAACTGTATATTTTTAACTTAAATGTGGACCTCATACTTGCACAAGTTATTACAATACAATACAATACCTGTTGTCCGGGCCGTGTGATAGTGGCACTTCTAGTGTGCAAAGTTGAAGACTCGAGGTGGTCGAAAAGTTTCGATTCTCTCTCGTGTTAGCTGTGTAACCGTCCCGTTTCGTGTTTCAGCTACTTCATTCGATCAATACACGAAATAATCTAATTGATCTTTTAGGCTTGTCTGGCTTGCATTGAGGAATATGGATAAGATTCTATGGTGTTCAAAGTTTAGCACAGGATTACCGTAGTAGATTATTGAGGCTAACTTCGCTCATCAGTGAATGGCTTTCTGCAGTTTATCTAACAGTTGTTTATATTTGAGAACATAGATAGTAGATAAACCTGTTAAGTTTCTGAATTCGTGCTAATGATTTAATTGCATATTGCTTCAACAATTAACTGCTTGAGAGTGAAATACCCGAAAAAATACGTTCATCTACGAATTGCGTCCTAATTAAAACAACGCGCTTATTTAGTGATTTGCTGTTTACATTTTTCCAGTCAATAATAAACGGATCCGATTAGAGCGCTTGAATTTCGTACGGGGTCACAGTTGAGATCGAAACAACGACTTGAGACGATAGAGCTGTCGTAATGTTTGTTTAACTCTGCACTATCAAGGTTTGTGTAGCTGTGATCGAAACCTAATCGTGTAGCAACACCACACACTTTGAATTTACAAAACTCAAATCGAAAGGACCAACGGAATTGATTGATCTAACAAGCACGCTTGGGACACGTTTCATTCATTCAAACGGGTGCATGAAGTCCTCAGCTTGCTGCAAACGCATTACTCTTCTTCAGTTGCAATTTAACACCGTCATTGTAGAAGCTACCGGAGGCACTCTCAATTTTATCAGTCTAGTAATCGATTTTATCAATCAGATCCTACCAAACACATTTTCCTATCAGCTTATTTACTTATGAGTAATGGTTTAGAGTAAGTTGTTAGTGCTTTTGAAAGAATGTCGGGTTCTTATTCGAACTCGTTACCCACGACAGTTCGTACCTACGACCGCCAGGCACTATAGTCAAACCGACAATTTTGGCGACACGATCCCGATTGTTATTCATCTTTTCTATTCAAAAATGACCAAAACCAAACTGTGAACTGCATTGCTTTCCATTACATCCCGTCAACCATACCTTTCCAATACATCCCGTATTTGAGGCGAAATGGAACGAAATGTCTATTTACCTAAGATCTGTAATGTTACAGGAAAGCTAATCGGATGAAATTTAATGAGGAATACAACTTTGGTCTAAGCAATCCGTACTTTGTGATTAATAGTCCGGAGTTTGATTCTGGGAATCTTTTGTTTAATAAGGTATAGTGTAAGACGCTCATTGACTTATTGTTTCTTCCTGCCCATCAGCGGACTGTACGTGCCCAAAAGCACCTATGGATTATCGATCTATCGATTGATCCATTTACCGGGCAGCTTTGACACAGCCAGATTGGGCAATGCGTCTGGGAATCACCAGCTCTCAGACATTCAAATTTCGAATACTGTTTCGTTAATCACTCACGTCGTTGGCTGCCGTCTATGGGTCTGGCTTTATGTGATCCATTTATGTGCGTCTGACTTATTGGGTGTGATGAAGTGAAGATTTCTAGCGTTTTGGGCACCGATTTGTCAGCATCCGGAATTAGCAGTACACGAAGTAGAGCAATTTGGGTATGAAATGACCTAGGTCAGTTTAGACGCAAAACGTGAAAAAATATCCACCAAAATTGCGCTCTAAGACCACTTATTTCATGACTGAGCTCCATGGGGACACTACCTCTGGAGTCACTCGACCGTCGCCGTCAAAATACCCAAGCGGTATATCATCAATTTCTAAATATTGAATTATAAAATAACAGACAAAGTGCATAAAACGCTTTTATACAGGGCATTTTTGAGCTCGCGAATACTGATTAGAATGTGGAAATATCAGCAATTTCAAGACAAAGTTAGCTGCCAAATCCAGTCAACATACAGATCAAGTAAGACTTTTGGGGCCACAAAAATGGAACGTTTTGTATACTTCAATGTTTGAACCCTGTATTCATTTTAGTACATCATTTCGTTCCAGTGTGTCGATATTTCTAAGTCACATTGGTCACATTATTTCATTTCACATGAATAGCTCCGTTTAAGTATGATCAACGCTTTGTGAAATTGTATGATGTCGTTTAAAACTATTAGGTGAAGATGTATATGTTTATCACAAGGAATGAAATAACAGTTAGTGTTTGACACCCGTTGGTTGTAATCCGATGAACAGACAGAAGCGCGGTCAATGACCGGTAGATCCAACCATTGCAACCACTGTTGGAATAAGATGGTTGTGGCCCTTATACATCAGGAAAAATGATTGATCGCGAGACAGTGTTTTATTTATAATATAATATGTATTTAAGGACAGCAATCAAAACGGGCTCACAAAGTGCATGTTTGTATGAACTGATTTAATCAATATGATTCGCATTTACCTCACAGTAAATTTGGAGAAATTGTGTAGGATAGTTGATATTTATTAACTTGAACCAACTATACTTAGGACTTCAGCATCAGTTTTCAGTTTGTACAACCATTACCCAAGCACTATCATGCGCCGGTTTTGGTTGCTGTCTTTCGGCTGCCCATTTGGATGAACATTAGGAGAAAGACAGGAAAGGTTGAAAGTAGGATCGAACAGAAAATTGAAAAGTTCAGTGGATTAATGATACAGATAAATTGAGAAGATGCACGAACGCCAATGTTTACGACACCCAGCCATATCACTCAGTGTCTCTAAACTTCGGGTACGATCATCCCGAGGTCCCCATCCAGCGAGCCTAACAGGACCTATGTGACCCAGACTCCTGGGTAGGGTTTTCATACCCTCATGCCAGATCTTAGCTTGACCACCATGGGCTTTCTTCCACCCACTACCTGCCTCGGCAAACATCGCTTGCCGTGGCAACCTATCCGGTGACATGCGTAACACATGCCCCAGCCAACTAACATACGGAGTTTGACCACTTGCTCCAGTGGGCGACCGCGGTTGCCTAAAAATTTGCGACTGACCTCGGCATTGCTCGTCCGGCTGCTCCACCACATTCGTGCAATGATGCGTAGACAGCGGTGTTCAAACACTGACAGTCTATCTTTGTATGTTTTCCTAATGGCCAAGTTTCTGCGTCGTATAGCAGAACTGGCCGAACTGCCGCGGCATACACTCGACCCTTCACAGACGGCGGGATGTCGCGACGATACCACAGCTGTCTCAAGTTGGCAAATGCCGACCGAGCCTTCTGTATGCGAGCTGATACTTCATCCGTGATGCGTCCACTGGGTGAGATGTAGCTGCCAAGATAACAAAACTTTTCCACCTGCTCTATTACTTCCCCAATTAGAGTAAGGCTGGGTGCTGGACCAACCCAGTCTTGTAGTGGCATTTTAGAATTTGAAGGTAGAAAACACATTCCGAACGTGGCTAGACTGGTACTCAAACTACCCAGAAAAGCCTGAAATTTATCTAGGTCTTCACTTAGAAGAACAGCGTCGTCTGCATATTCAAGATCAGGCAGCCTGTCAGCTGGGAGTAAATCGATGCCACTGTTATCGCACGAGGATAGGGCTGTTTCCACAATCAAGTGTATAAGAAAGTTAAATAACAGAGGAGAGAGAGGGCAACCCTGACGAACATCACTTTCCGTGGTGAACTCGGGTGAAAGTTCCGTAAACTCGGACTCGACTACGGCTTTTAGTAAAACCCTGAATGATATCCAATGGGAGGCGTAAACGGGAGGCTTTTGGGATTATTCGGGATTGAGAAGAAGAACTAGACGGATAGGAAAGAGGTTTTTCCAAATGGGTGTCTAAGACTTTCGGGCACGACATACTTTGCTGCAGCCCACACTGATGAAGGGGTCTTTTTTTGGGAACCCTTACCGGAGCCTTTAACTCAAAAGTCTGACCCACAAGGCAGTGGGGCGTAGATCCATCGCGGCAGCGCGAATGCAGCACCTGTGTGGGAGCCTCTAGAAGCCTGTCACCTAAGGCCTTCGTGTTTAGGTCAAGTGTGCTTTTCGCCTGTGCGTTGATTGTCGGTCCGCTTTTCGGGATCTACCCTTGGCCTCATGTACCCAATGAGAGGAGCTGAACGTGGACGGGACAGCACTTCATTGGCTGTCCAATGAAGTGCGAGGACTTCTCCCACTATCAAAAGGAAGTCACAGGTACTCAGCTCCCACGTCCATATATCGTGGTTTGTTTACCGGTAAACTACCCCTCACCGTATTTACTTGTTGGAGTGACATCTCCAGGGGCGGGTGTGGATAAACGAAGGAAGCCAGGAGTTGCCCAAGCAGCTATCCTTCTAAGACTGAACTTTGTCTGGCCTATACCCAGTATGTATTAAGCGAATGGCGATCGACTCGGCCATAGCTAGTGTCCAAACTCGAGCTGCCCTCGCCAAACGCTGCTGGACAATGGTAATCCGGAAAAGTTCATCGATAAGAATATTCGGCTCAATCCGGAGAGAGCAAAATCTATCTGGGTCCCCAAGAAAGGACTATCCATAAGGATCCCATTGAAGGGGAACTCACACACAGAAGGCCTAGTAAATTCACTGAGAGCGGCTGTAAATTCCACTTTCCCCGCAGCCAAACCTACACCAGTGTTCTCTAAATCACCGGTGATAGGAATGCAAGTGAAAGACAAAACTGTAAAAACTGACCTCATCCATGATGATTTGCTCTTTTAATTGCGTCTGTGGCGCATATCACATAGGTCGTCTGGTAAGGCGTTTGTCTCAACGCGTTAAGGAGCACCGCCCGCGATAGTTAAGTCAGGGAAAAACTGGCTGTATTTCAAGCGCGATCGTGGGGCATCTCGTCAACACCGGGCACAGAATTGAAATGGAGAAAGATTTCGGTATTGGTTATCGAGTCCCACTCTAACGATCGAGGGTGACACGAATTTGGATATTGGCCAAGGCCAAGGCGGTCGCCATTCGCTTACTAGGCCCCGACCGGTGTGCACAGAAAAAACTGGTGCAGGCGCTCCATTTGCCTTGGCCGGGTGTGAAAACCAAGACCGAACATGACGTGTCACTTGACCCAAGTGTGGAAAGGTCAACAAGTCATTAACTACTAACAAACAACACACATCCTCTAATGTCTGTCTCCGATTGTTTGGTTGTGATCCAACCTGTTTAGATTCAAAGATGCTTACACATGCGTAGTATCCGAAATCTTCAACGTTCAAATTCACAATATCTAAAGTAAAGGCATTTGGCCAACGTTTGGGTGGATAAGTATATACACGATTGGGAGAAATGAAACGCGGTGACAGCAGCTTCAACTCGCGTCTTTCAATTGCTAACTGGATGATCTCTTCCACCTCCTCTTTCGCATGAATGTCAAAACGATCAAGTTGAGCTATTCGCTGCCAGACCAACTTGGTCAGTTTATGATCACTGCCCTCGGAGATAGTTGGAACGGGGCAAATGATTGTGGTCGTGGAGGGCAACGTGATCAAACCAGGTATGATTTCTAACTCGTCTCTCAATATTGCCTCATCACATTCTTCGTTACCGTTGTTGGACAATGTTTCACGGAAATAAAGTGCAATTTGATTAAAAAATGTGCTCCATCCTGTGTCCATTCGAGTGAGATTTAACGAAGGCCAGCCCATGGCTAGGTTTTTAAGACCGGGAAAACCATCAGATCGATCGGAAAATTTAACTGGCACAAAGTTGGTTCTAGCGTCTCGCCTTGCATGGTTTATTCGGTTATTGTAAAAGCTCCATCTTAATTCGTCTGTCATCTGCATAGGATCAGTAATCAGTGACCGATCCGATGGACTGTCATGATCAGGATAATCTAATTGTCGTTGATTCCAATCGTCGGAATGTTCCTCTAATGAATTTGGGTCCCACGGAAGAATATGCAAAAGTGTTCGATTTGTATTCGACAAGATTGTCTCATCCAGTTCTTCCAAATTCTCTTTTGTCAGGGCTAATGACTCAAGGTATTCCGGCTTGGGAGCACTTCTTTGTTCTGCTTCAATAAACATGAATTTACGCCGTGTACGTTCGCGAAACGCTCGTAAATGACTCCATCGTGTATCCTCCAGACCACCCCGCCCAAACAGGGAAGCACGGTAACCAAGCGGAATGTATCTCATTTCGGAATTCAAGTGAGAAAAATAGTCCTTTATTAGAGGAGGACTCTTTTCGGTCCTGTTGTGGGCAACACGGATTAGGCGTCTTCGTTTCGAAGTTGCACTTTTATCCGCAACGCTAGTCACCGAAACACTAGATTTGGATTGCTGGGCTTCATCTCGTGGTTTTGTAATCGGTACTTTTAAATACCTGTCCATTGTTCCATTCTCGTTCTCATAAATTTCATATTCCTCAGATGACGTTCTCTTTCTACAGAAATTTCGAAAAGACGCTTCTCTCATTTTCTTCAAAGAATCATATTCTTTTGAATAATCTTCCAAGTTTCTGTTAAGCATCTTTCGAAATTCTTTATGACTGCGCAGGTGATTAAGCCCTAGGAATAAGCCTTTTGTTAACGCCTCTCTTTGCCATTCATTCAACTCCAGATTTGGTGAGTATGAATCAAAGCTCCCCGGACATCGTACGGCCATGGTAGACATGAATCGATTACAGCCGCGAACAATATGGCTACGGAAGTTTTCCGTCGGTCGAAGCGCGTAATCTAAGTAATCGGTCGTTTGTGATGTTATATCATCGACTGTCTCAACATAACGCCCGCTCGGAACATTTATGTGCAACCATGTTAGTAACGGGCCCAGAAAAGATCCCGACGAATGTCTATCACGTTGATCTGGTCCATCAGTAAAACCTTCCAGCTCTCTTTGCTGTTTGATTTCTTCACATGGTTGGATTCGTTCAAACTCTATATCTTTGCTTATGCGATCAGATGAAGTGTCAAAAAGACGTCTCAAAGCGAAAACTTCGTCCGGTGAACCCTCAACCTCTCCCTTGATTATTGACCGTTCTTGTTTCCTTCTTTGAATTAGCGAGATGTCGGAATCGTTAGAACTGCTCCCAAGAGTAGTATTACCGTCTCTTGCCTCTTGTTCCATATCCTGTTTATTATGCTCCAGATGGTCTGTTTCGAAGTAAAACGATGCCTGAATGGAGTTGGTCTTAAATTCTTGACCGCACCAACAGGTAACCGTGCAACGAAACACATAGGTCCCACATCTCGGTAATTGACTTAAATCAAGCTCCGGACCTGGTTTGATCTCCTGATAGATTCTGTCTGATGGAGGAGTCAGTTGTGGCACTGGTCCGGCAACCCAATGCCACTGAAATTGAATATGGGGACAGCCAACTTGAGTGGTGCACGAAATCTTACCTGTTTTCAAATGTATCACCTCCTGAGCTGGATACCAATGTAAATCTTCCGGAACCCTACATTCGGTTTTGGGACCGGGTAGAACTAGTTGTTGTTCCGTCATTCTATCTATCATCAGACAACCTATGTGATATAATTCATGTTTGTCATCTATTCTCTGATAATGCTCCGATTGAGCTTTCACAAGAGCACCTGGGACCTGATTAATATGTACTGTACGATTTGAACCCATAGGTCTATGCATTGGCAACAAAGTGAACGTGTTCAGTTTGCCTTGGTGATGATTGGTTGCCCAGGCAACACAGCGCAAATGAAGCATATGTCCAACAGGTATGGATCCGATTTCAGCAAAACGAAATATGGGACTGACAGTCAATAATCTATAACCGAAGGCTATTTGCTTCTTATCACCTTTGAGTAATTTACTCATTGTTTCGTTCACGGTGTGAAAATAGCCTGGGCTCCATGTGCTGCAGTAATACTCTCCACTGTCGAATTCCTGGAAGGAAACAGAGGAAATTCACAGAAAACAATCACCGTTTATATAGTCATCATCTATCCCATTATGGTTTCGATAATGGACACCGAAAAATAAAGCATGTGCTTAACTGTGTTGTTGAAAGTGCTTGGTGCAATTTATGGTCTGTAAAGCTAGATTTTATGTAGACCTTGCTTTTAGTATGACAGATAAGATTAGATTGTGGGCATATTTTGTGAAATCTACAATAGAACTTGGGAAAACATATTACTAAATTACCGTTTCATAAGTTTCGTAATACGTTTTTATCTTAGCAACGCCTTTAAACAATAAACAAAATATATTAGTGTAATAATGTGGTTGTCAAGTCAAATTCCATAATACGACACGACTGCTTTTCCTTTACTCATAAGGACGTTCTATCCAAAATATAGTTATTTCGCGACAAACGTATCGTACCTTCCTCCCCTGAGATGAAATTCAAATGAACCATGTCAGGATGGCCCAGATGCTCTATCCCCTTCTATGTTCAAACGTGCTGATCCACTCACCGAGATTTTCGAGTCTCTTATTATTAAATCAATGCACACAGGTTCGAGTCCCTATTCGTTATGAGCCTTCGCGATTGCTCCCATTCCTAAATCGTCTATCCCTACCCTTGCGTCCCACTGCCATCACCTTCTCTGGACTTAAGCTAGCAGAGAGCGCCTTTCTCACCCGTTAGCGGTCTATTATAAATAATCCCAGTGACCCTCTTTAATTTGTGCATAAGTCAAGGATTTGTACGTTGGACGCTGTTTCTTCGTTGATGCACTTTGAGTGTAAATCTTTAGTCTGTTCCAAAAAGCCTGTTTGCTATCTTCCTTGATTATTCCTCTGCTTTTGATTTCTTTCCACTATCTTCTCTCGCCCGAAACTTGCAGCCACTCGGTTGTTCCATCACTTTGTTGTCGTGATTGAAAAGTTATTTCACAGGAAGGATTCAAAGAACCAAAGCAAACAGCACTGTTTCACAACTGTTCCTGAACACTTCTGGAGTCTTTTAAGCTGCTGTGATTTCTAAATTCTTATTGTCAACCTGCATCAGTGACCTATTCTTCATTTCGCCAGCCAAAACCTTCAAATACGCGGATGAAGTGGGGTTATGTCAAACCATCTCAAACCAGTCTGATGCGAAATTATTTTCTGACATTTTAACACGACCCCAATTATACTCTGAACCAATCCGGCCTGTAGTTGAATGCCACTAAATGTTTCGAATGCTGTTTTAGTCTTTCCCGGTCTGAGTATCCCTTGGAACCCTGAGTCATCATCTCGATACCCAAAACCAGAACACAGACTAATAAATACCTAGGAGTCACTATGGAGAGCAGTCTATGGTGTTCCTACCAAATCTCAGTATGTGTTCGCAAACTGCAGCACTTATCCTTCCCGATACACAAGCTATGATAATTCAGAGTAAAACATCCAACTACGTGTTCCTTTGTTTATCAGTGCATTTTTTCCGGTCTGCAAGTTCACTTCTGTTTTTCCCTGTCTACTGGAAAAGGATTTCATGAATCCCCGTTACAGTTTAGCAATTATTGGCCCTATTTTTCTTATCCCCATAAACACTATAGTCACAAACATGATGTGAGGATTTATCCCGTAAGACGACCCAACCACCCGCTCAGTCTTGACTGATCTGCCTTTCGTTCTCACCACACAACGCTTTCTAATCTTCACTGCTTAGCCGCTTCGATACACATTCAAGTCAAGTCAAGTTACAAATCGCTTTATTTAGCATCCTGCGCACCAGAGTCAATCATCATCTCATACAGTCACACAGAAAAAGTTAAATACAGAATCGTAAATACAAGAGGAATGTGACGTAAAAATGTCCAGATGGATATCATTTGAAATCAACAGAGATGATTATTTGTTTAAGTTTCTCGCATTGTTGTGTGAGACTTTTTTGTTATTTTGATCCCATTGTAATAGCGAACGCAGCTTGACTGAAACGTGGGCATAATTACCTGCACAAGGCATTATACAATACAACTGTTGCGTCTCGCCAAGATTATCACTGAACCTTGTCCTATGATGCCTATCCCAGTTAAAGATAGCTGCAATCAGTTTAGGTCTTTATTGGTAGTGCCCGCCAAACGCCAATTGCAAAAAGGAGAAACGTGTGGTATATATGGGGTTGGTCACAGTCTACAGTCATTTTTCCAAAATTGGGGTTACAAGGACCCCAATAGAGAGATTGTACAAACCAGGTTGCCGTTCTCTGCTCGTCACCCTGACGACTACGTATCTAAGACCCTCGAGAAAAGGCTGACACGTTCTCCCGGTGGCGGATATTCCTAATCCATTTCAAATGCAAACTGCGTGATTTCTCAGGGGAAGGCTAGGCGTTTCCTGACACCAGTACAGCAGTAAATTGGCCCACGACCTAAAACCTCTGAATTATAAATGTCCTACCTTCCACGAATCCGCGCTTAGAACATTCCTCTGTGACTGTCAACTATTCTCCATCATGCATACATTCATACCTCCTGACCCTTCATTTCATCTTCACCCGCATTGTATATTTTCACTTCTATGGGGAACTTCAGATAGTTATGCCAACAGAAGTGCTCCAATGGAAATTTTGCCGATATTCTGTCGCGTCCTACCTTGACTACCCACCGGGTCTCACCGAATCCTCCATCAGCTGAAGTTTTTCATCCTCGATATCCCTTCAAACTGACCGCATTCAACGTGCTAACTATGGTGCATATAGGACAACAAGCGTGTTTAGCCCACAAGGTTGAGGTCCCAGTTGTTGTTGTTATTGGTGGTGGTGGTGTGTGTGTGTTGTATCCAAGACAGTCTCTCTCTTAAGTCTCCAGGGGTATCATCCGATTGGTCTCCAGTAAATCAGTCTTCAAAGTTCCACTTCAGTATTTTTGGAGACTCTGAGGTTTCGGCTGCGGCTACCTGTCTTGCTAACGTTAGAGCGGCTCGCAGTGAGAATACTGAAGCCGCACGCTTAGGCTGGATCCCAGCCGATAGTAGATTGTACGCTGTGTGACTCAGAGGTTCGTGCAAAGTGAGCAGTCATTATCCCGATCAACTCAATTTGTTTATAACCACAGCGTGATTTAGTCAAAGATATATTTTGCCAAAACCTACACAAACCTTTGCACAAAGTGCCTCGGACTGATACCAAGATTTTAACAGAAGGTATGAATGTTAGAGAAGATCAGTTGTATTGGAGCGAGGCCTATTTGGGTGGCCCTATGTGGCTCGATACCTGTCGCTCGGAAAATCGGGGATTGATTGATTCTATGATTGATTCTATTGATTCTATGTTCTTACCGTCGCATAGTCTTCGCTAGTGGAGACTAAAAGAAACCCCGATTTCCGGTACCCACTTGAGGTTCACCAGTCGACTTATGAACAGGCATGGTGCAAACGCGACAATAATAGTAATAGATACGGGAAATTCAGGCACGAATTAGCATACTAACGAAAACAAAAGAAAGACTAAGACAGTTTGAAATGACGTGGAATGATTGTGTCTCGGGATGCGGATGTTGGTGCTGGTGAGTTCTCTGAGCTGGAAGTGTTGTTCGCAGACGTTTTGTAACCAAGCTAGGCAACATCATCAATGCATGAGTAATTTATAGTCAAATAATTTACCAATTTATTTAAGCTAGAATATTTTCATTAATTTGATTATTTACTGTGCACTGAA